CAGAAACCTCAATGTGAGAGAGACACATCGACGGGTCGCCACCCACACAACCCCAACCAAGATTGCAACCAACTGCAACCAAGGTACGTGCCCTTAGTGGGAACCGAACCCAGGACTCTCTGGTCCACGGGTCGATGCTCTAACCGCTGAGCCAAACCGACCAGGGAGATGAGTGTATTTAAAATGGTCAGTTTCCAGCAGATGGAAGCAAAACATCTAAAAGGAGGGGCTGATTTTTCTAGTTTGCACAAGGTTCTTTTGGATTAGAGATGGGGCTGATTGGAAAACAAAGCTGAGTGTTAATTGTGACTTTCTCAGCAACCCGGGAGGGATGAAGACCTCCTTCTTGTGACGATTTTCCTCCTTCCTTTGGGGAAGGCTCCTCCTCCACTCCAAATATGGGGTTCTGGTGGGGCTGCTGCCTGCAGACAGGCCGCCCAGCTACAGACTCATGGTCCCTAGGTCTGGCCAATCCTCTTGGCCACGGTGGTTGGTCCGAAAGCTGGCTATGTAACTGCAGGTGGGCGACCTTAGTCCTCCGGGGGTTTCTATGTATCGACACAAAGGAAAGTAATCTCTCTCTCCAGGATCCTCTAAGTTTGTCCAGAGTCACTGGAGAAAGTCTGAAGGTGCCTGGGGTGTGTCTCCCAACTGTCTGAATGAGGAGGGAGTGACACCCCCACACAGGGAGGGAGATGGAGGAAAAGGGATCTGAAGACACCTTTGGATTCCTGAGCCAGTTCAACTATGAGACCCTGTCCGTCCTTATCACATGAGCCAGAGAAACACCCTTTTTCCTTAAGCCAGTTTAGGTTGAGTTTCCGTTGCCCACAAACAAAAGAATTCTGCAGAACAGAACCACCTTTCAGAAAGTCCCACCCTGGCTCACAGGGATCAGCCTTGTCACGCCCTGTCCCACCGCCAAGCCCCAGCCTGACCAGTCAGTTTCCCCTCTGAGTCACCTGGTTGGGGTAACTTTCTGGGAGCTTCAGGAGGTGCTCCCCCATGGTTGCTGGCACCCTGATTCCAGAAAACCAGGGAGGGGGGTGTTCTGAAACCATGGCACAGCTCGATGGTGGTGGAAGGATCTTCAGAGCCGGGCCTCATCACACGGCGTCCCACTGATGCGACCGATGTGTGTATAAGTCCCCCAAAGTACCCGGGGGCCTGTGGGACAAAACCACACGCACACGTCTCACCATGATTTTAGAGCCTCTAAACCAAAAAAAAAAAGGAATTTCTTCACTGCTGTGTCCCAAGGCTCCTTCAGCCATGCCCACAGTCATGTAATCCTGCAAAGCGGCATTTAAATCCTTTTCTCCAACCCTCCTATTCTAGCTCCTTCCAACTTGTACCTCTTCAGGAACGGAGCCCAAGAAAAGGGCCCACTGCCGGGTCGGCTCACTGCTCAGATCCTCGCCTGTACCAAAAGGAGGCACGGAAATTTCCACTCAAATTCTCAGCAAGGGCCCTTTTCTCTCCTTTTCTGGGGAGTAAGGAGGGAGCTCCTTTTCCCAGTTCCTTTACTGACTGCACACTCCTCCTTTGAGTGAACTCCCCTGATTTTACATACACATTCCCCTACTAAAGACACTGGGTAATGTTCAATTTTCAACTCTTAAAAAGAACCCTGTGATGAACACATTCGATTAGAAATCTTTTTCCATGTGTAGCTTAGTCCCAGGAAGAGAGTTTGCCAAGGCAACAGGGAGGACTTGGGGTCCGTGCTATCTTGGGACACTAAAAACAAAAACCCCAAAACAAAAAAACCAGAGATGCAAACAAGAGAAACAGCGAAAAGGAAATAGGTGGAGTGGTCAATGGCTTAAAGAAAATAATAGCAGGCTCCGGACGGTTGGGCTTAGCGGTTGGAGCTTCGGCCTGCAGACCAGAGAGTCCTGGGTTTGGTTCCCGCTGGGGGCACGTACCAAAAAAAAAAACAAACCCAAGGAAAGAATAGCGGGCAGGGCCTGTAGCTGGAACCACCTCCTCCACGGTTGGGCTGATGTTAGATCTTCCATAAGCAAAACAGCTCTGGCAGATAAGTGTGTGGCTTTTCCTTCCTTCAAATAGCAAATGCTTCAGCTCCCTTTGACAACGAACTCGAATTGAATAGAAGCTGGATAGTTTTATCTCAGTCCTGTCTTCCAAAACACAGGATTCCCGGAGGGTTAACAGGCAATCTTCTGTTGGAGGTACTAAACGGCTCACCTTTTCCTGCCTGTTTTCTGTTTTGTTTTCTTTTTAATCCTCACCCGAGGATATTTTTCCATTTTTTGTACAGATAGAGTGGGAGGGAGAGTGAGGAAGGGGGAGAGAGAGAGAAACATCGACGTGAAGGGACACGTCAAGTGGCTGCCACCCGCACGACCAACCAGGGCCGGGGACAAACTGCAACCGAAGTACATGCCCTTAGCGGGAACCGAACCCGGGTCTCTCTGGACCGCAGGCCGACGCTCTAACCGCTGAGCCAAACTGGCCAGCGCCCTGCCTGTTTTCTGTACTCACGTGCAGCCTGCGGCCGCCTTGCTGCCCCCCTGCCTCCAGTTTTCCCTCAGCTGACTTCATTCATCACTATACTCCTAGACCAATGTCCTTCCATGTTTATTTCAGTACTTCACTTCACCCAACACAGATTTATCCTAGTGCTACTAGAATAGCTTTTGCCTGGAGTTTTCAGCCGCCTAGGGGCAGACAGGGAGAAAGTGGGGGGCTGGAGGCTTAGCTTGGATTCCCCCAAAGGCCAGGATTTGGGAGCCTGCAGCTCCCTTGGAAGGAAATCTCAGGAAGCACTGTGAGGGACTGTCACTGAGACAGCTGGGGAGCAAGGCCACAGGACTGCTGAGAGGCTGTGGGGGGGACCCCGAGTATCCCTCTGAGGCCAGGAGCCTGGGGCGCTTACCATCAACTCCTGGCCCTTAGTGCTTCAGGGTCGCTCCCGGGATGACCTCAAGACTGCCTCCCTGTGGCCAGAAAATGCCCCCAGGTGGAGAGACTGTAGGCGAGTGCAGGAACTAATTACAGGAGACCCCAGGGGGAGGCTGGGGGTGTGGGCAAGCCCTGACAGCAACTCTATAGTTGCTTCTCTCTCTCTCTCTCTCTCTCCCTGCCTCCTTCCTAGCCTCCCTCCTGTCTCTGTATCTTCCTGTCTCTCTTTTCCCTTTCTCTTCCTCCCTCCCTTCCTCCCTCTTTCTCTGTGTGCACACACGCACATGTGATTTTTAAGACAGAAATAAGACCTTACTATGCTTACTGATAGTTTTGCTCAACCTTTGGGACATCATTCCACATCGGTAGACAGAATCTATACCAAAACTGTCGGTGACTGAATAGTGTTCCATCATTCCCAGCCAGACGTGTGTTCTTTCTAATCCTGGTTGACATAAAGAGGTGAGGAACCAGATGACTCTTCCTAAAACACGGCTGTGTGCATGTCGCCCCCTTATTTCTCTCCTGCTCAAAACCCACCAAAAGCTCTCCTTCACCCACATGGTGAATCCTAAATTCTGTGACGAGGCCTTCGGGTCTGACCTGTCTCTGCCTGGGCCGCTGGAACTTCTCCCTGCCCAGCTCCTCCAGCATAGCAGACAGTTTGACCCACGGGGTCATCGCAGGCCCTGTCCACTTCTGTGTCTGCAATTTTGCTCAGGCTGTGTCCCCAGCCTGGGGTGCCCTCTTCCCCCCACACTGCTTGGCCCCATTCCGAGGGCCTCCACCTCCCTCAGAACTCATCCCTCAGTGACTGAGTCCTCTCTTCTTCGCGATCCCTTCTGGCATGTCTCACCCCTGGGGGACTTTGCAGTCTTGTATCTCTGCTCCCTTCTCATGGCTGCGTTTCCACTTCCCAGCAAGGCTGGGACCCGGGGGGATGTTCTGGCTCAGTGTTCAGTGCCTTGCACACAGGCACTCCTCGGTCCAGGTAGCTGATGGTGAGCACAGGACTGGTTTTGTCTTTCTCTCTGGATGGGGTGAGATGGAAAGGTGCACCTGTGTCCCCCCACTCACCAGGGCCTGTGACTACAGTGCCCACTCTGTTTGCTGATGGCTGTTGAAGCCATAGACCCACACGGACAGCTCGTGGGCTATCCACAGGCCCCTCCCCTGGAGACAGGAACTGAGGCTCAAAGGAAGAAGGGGAAATGGTCCTTCTGATTTGAGATGCCAGGACTTCGGGGAAGGGTTGCTGAACAGAAGGGGAGGGTGGGGGAAGGGCAACTCAGGGGGTGCTAATCCCAGCTTCCTGTCCTGATTTTCCTTGACTGCTGCTTAGGGCCTAGTTTACGTTGTTCACAGCTACAGAAATAGATCTCTCCTCTCACCTGTTCTTAAGCAAAGAAGACCTTGAGAACTTCCTGTCAAAGATGCATGCTTTGGTCATGTTTCCAGGATGCGGGACAGTAATGAGCATTGCTGCTGAATGCCCAGGATTCTCCACTTCTGCGGAGTGCGGGGTAGGGGTTCACCTGGGGAGGAGCAGGGAGCGAACAGCGGGGGTGAGGGGAGTCAAGGGCCCAGCCACCTGTTTCTGGCCAGGGTTCAGCCTTTTCCCCGAACTTGGTTGGTGTTTCCTTCCTTCGTCTTCTCCAGAAACCACCCTCTGACTCAGAGTGACAGACAACAGATTCTCTGTCCACCTCTCACCCACCCCGCACCCCTGGCCTGATCTTACAGACGGCTCTATTCCTGCTTAACTCATCATCTTAGCTGAGCTCTGGAACCCGAAAACAACGTGTCTGAGTTAAGGCGGCCTCCGGCCACTCACGCACGCACTCAACAAACACCAGCCCCTAGCCCAGCCCCTAGCCGGCTCCGGAGGTGTGGGTTACAGCGAGGGCCAGGACGCCCGCAGCCCCGTGCAGGGCGTTGGAGGCGGACGTCAGGAGGAACAGCGGGACTCTCGGGAGGTGGGGGGCCCGGGGACCCCTTGTCCTTGGAGGTGGAGGGAGGAAAGCAGAAAGCAGAGACTTGGGCGCCGGCCCCAGGCCTCCGGAGCGGCTGGGGCGGCGGGACTTGCGCACGCCTGGGAGGAGACCTTGGCGTCGCGTCGCCAAGGTAACCCTGGCCCGGGAAGCAGGCGATGGCCGCCGGGACAGGAGGGAGCTGGGGTCATCCCCCTCCGCAGAGTGCGGCCCCGACGGTGAGGGCTGAGCAGGGGCAGAGCCTGCCTTTCCCGGGGAGGCACGGGGCGATGGCAGAGTTGGGAAGCCGGCCCTGGGGGCGGGCGGGTGGGAGGGGTACGAACGTGGAGGGAATGGTGGGGGGTGAGGAGAGCGACCCCGCCGTAGAGGAAGAGACTTGGCAGGGATGGGGAGGCCGAGAGGGGCGCCAAGGGAATTCGGGCGGCCCCTTTGGGGTTAGGGAGGCAACTGGGGAGGGGGGCTGCGGGGGAAAGTTGGCTCCCCAATCCCTTCTCCGCTTAGCCTGGCTGAGTCACTCCCTCCCCCCAGCCCTGGGTGACTGTCCTGCAGCCCCTCCAGTGGGCCGTCCCACAGACACCCCCCCACCCAAGCCGCGTGAAGGAAGGTGAGACTCGGGGCTCCCTCCTGCGCCTTACCCCACCCCTCCCCGAATGTGTCTGGATGTTGGCACTGCATCTCCACCCTCTTCTACCTCCCCGAGCTGGGTGTGTGTGTGTGGAGGGGGAGGCCCCAGGGTCTGGGCAGAGGGCTGAGGGGGGTGCGGGGTGGGGGGTGGGGGTGAGGGTGGAGAGCTGGCGTGCAGGCTGAACCCAGTCCCCTAGACCTGCTGGAGCTGATGATGCTGCAGAACGCGCAGGTGCACCAGCTGCTCCTGAGTCGCATGGTGGCAGCATCGCTGAACCCCTGGCCCGCCTTTTCTGGCCCACAGGTGCGAAGGCTGAAGGGGGGTGGGGGCACTGGGGCCGCCCATCTGCAGGTCCAGGGGTGGGGATCCATCTGGGGTATCCCCTTGAGAGAGGGACCAGGTGAAAGAGGAGCAGGAAGCCAGCCCACACCTATCTGACTGGGTCTGTTTGGCATCTGTTATGTGCCAACCTCCATGGAGGAGGGTCTCTAAATCCAGATCACTCAGGTCTTGTTTTCAAGGAGGTGTCTCTGCAGTGTGTCCCTCACTGGACTGCAGGCCCAGGAGGACAGGTGCCATTGTACCCTGGGCCTACAGGGTGCCTGGTACTTACTAGGGTTGAACAAGTGAATGAATAGCTGGATGACTATGAATGCCAGGCAACTTTGGCTGGACTGGCACAGGAGAGGTGCAATGGTGCTCACCTGGTTGGGGGATGAGGAAAGGCTCCTTGGAGGAGCAAGTGGCCTTAGAACCAGCCCTTGCGAGCCAGGTGGGATTTTGACGATTGGAGGCAGGTGTGTGTCCACCATCCAGGCTGGCTGAGCCCTCCAGGGGCCCTGGGAGGAGGGCTCTGGGGCCTGGGTGCAGGCCAGGAGCAGCTTGCTGGACTCCCACCCCAACTCTGGAGTCAAACCTGGTTTCTTCCAGTCCCTGCTCAGCCTCTGATTAGCTGGGTGACTTTAGACAAGTTGCTCAACCTCTCTGAGCCTCGGTTTTCCCATCTGCAAAATAAGTGATGAATGTCTCTAAAGTGCTGTGTGTGTGTGTAGTAAACAGCAACCAACAGTAACCATTTGATGATGCACATTGGAAAATAATTTAGAGGAACGGAGGGGTGGGGGTAGAGAGAGCCTGAGCCCATCTCACCATCCCCCTCCCTTCGCACAATCCCCAGGTCCATGTGGAGGGTCCCAAGGAGGAGAGTGAAGAGGAGGAGGAGCTGGAAGCCCAGGAGGAAGGGCCTTTGGTGTTCCACCACCATTACCTGCCCTGCCTGATGCCCGCTCTGGGCCCCTTGCCGCCCTGGCCAGTGCCTTTCGTCCCCCCTCCCTCACATCGGCCCCACTTTCAGGATGCATCCAGGATTCTGCAGCGCCCTCCTGCCTCCGGGAAAAGGGGGGCGTAAGTGAGGCGGAGGTCTGGGCCCTGCCGGGGCCCTGCTCTGGCTGGGTGGGAAAGCTGCCTTGGGCTGGGGGTGGGGAGGAGGCCCAGAGGCCACTTCTGAGGGGGATATTTCTTTTTTCATCCCCATCTCAGGAGAGCCGTGCCCCCACCGCCACCCCCCAGTGCCACAGGGACTGTGGGTGCAGATGTACCCCCGGCTTCAGGTAGGGGCAGGGTGGGTGGGCAGCAGGACCCAGGCCTAGGGGTGGGTCAGGAAGCCAGGAGGGTCATGTGTCCCTGAGGGGGGACTGCTATTGTCACTGCTGCGGGCAGCTGGCCTGTCCTCATCCCTTTCCCTCCTCGGGGTCCACTGAGGGAGAAGGGAATCAAGGTGAGGGTGCTGTCTCCCCCACCCAGATTACTACGATGCTGAGAGCCTACTGTGAAGACAGACGCTGGCCCAGGGACCCGTACCAGCTTCACCGCAGGGCCAGAAACAGCCCTAGAGTCCCCAAGTGCCCCTCTAGTGCTTAAAGCCACACCTGGCAGTCCTTCTCTGCCTCACTCCAACCAGCCCCCCCCCCCCAGGTGAATCGGGCTCCTCTCCATCCCACTAAGACTGAGCCAGCCTGACTCCTCGCCGGAGGGCTTGTTAGAGCATGCTCAAGCCATGAAAATCCAACTTCGCCCCACTGTTCCCTGCCCGGGTGAGGGGAGGCTGGAATTCAGAGCCTTCCCTGCACCGCCGTCCCTCACCCCTCCCTCTGGGAAGGCCAGGGCCGCGGGTCTCGGTCAGGCCTAATGATGGAGCAGGAGGTGCGAGGAGAAGACGGATTTCGTTGTCCAGAGCTCTCTAGGCCGAGTGATGTGGGAGAATCCTGACCGGGAGGGCTCTGGAGCTGAGCCAGTTCCCTTGGGGCCCCCACCCTTACCCCAGGAAGCTGGCTCTGTCGGTCATGTCCTGCTCCAGCTGGGAGTGGCCCGTTTGGGAATAGAGCATCTCTGCCCCTCCATGAGAGTGGGTGCCCCAGGGCCTGGGCTGGCCAGGAAGGCCCCTGTGAGGGATGCTGAGGAGACATCTAGGGAGAGAAGTCTGGGCCTGATGAGTCACCTTACTGGCTACTGAGTACTCTCCCAGGGGGAGACACTGAGGCACAGGGTTAAGTCCAGGTGTTTGTATTCAGACTAGAAACGTCCCCAAATCCTCTGTTGCTTGTCACTGTCCTTCAGCTAGGGCTGGACCGGTCCTGAGGGCCGCAGGAGTTCCCGGGGCTACGCCTGGTAGGCCTGCCTCAGTCTGCTCCAGGCTGCCTGCACCCCGTAGCTGCCTATCCGCCGCTGGTGCCACTGCTGGCCGAAGATGAAGCACAGCAGGACGGACGACACGAACAGCAGCAGCAGCACCGACACGACTGTGATGATGATGACCATCTGGTTGTCCTGCCCGGGCTCTAGGGAAGGAGGGGCAGTGGGCTTAGAATCTTCTGGTCCTAGGTGCCAGGGCCCAAGGCTGCGTGGAGGCCCACCCATCACCTACCCTCCCCCCGCCATCCTGCGGTCACCCTGTGATACAGGGTTACAGACATGAGTAGCACTAACTAGGGGACCAGCCTGGCCTCGATGAGACTGAGGGCAGCATGGCACGGTCCAGGCCAGCTTCTCTCTGGGCAGAGCCGAGTGAGTTTCTGCCAAACGCTCTGAAGATAGGGAACACCTTGGCCATCGAGAGTCACAGAACAGCGGAGTTTCTAGGAGACCTTAGGGGTCAGTTAGGTCAAACTCTGCATTGTAGAAAGGAGCCAAGGCCAGAGAGAGGAGGAGGACTTGGTCAAGGTCACACAGCTCACCAATGACCCAGCAACTAGTCCAGGTCCACGCTAGGGACTTGGAGCGCGCTGCAGGGAGGAGAAAGCATAGGCGGGAACCCTCGGGATTGGGGGTAGGGCCCTGGTGCCTACCCTCTGAGCTGGCAGGCTGGGCTAGGGTGAGGGCCCTGTCCTTCCCTCCATCCCCTGGGGGTCTCCCCCTCACCATGGATCTCCAGCACCTGGGGCTCCGAGGTCCTGCGAATGATGCCCCCGCCACGAGACCGCAGGTCCAGCTCAGCCTGGCAGGAGAAGTTGTGACGACCGTCGTCCTTGTGAGCCGTGCTATTGTGTGTGATCACGGCTTCTTGTGGGGCAGCTGTCGACCTCCCAAAGGTCTGCATGTGCAGGGGCTCCTTGCCACGGAGCAGGGTGAGGGTGAGGTTCTCGAGGGGTGCCACGGCCTGCACCCTGCACTCAATGGTGAAGGATTTGCCCACGGTCACCCAGGTGGGCTGCAGCTTCAGCAGCACTTGCTCTGGAGGGTCTGCAGGGAGACAGTGGGAGGTCTGGTGAGGGTGGAGGTGCGGCCGCGCAGGCCCACCCAGCCGAGAGCATCCCCCGCAGCACTGTGCTCTCGGGCCCCTGGCTGGACTGGTGGAGGAGGAAGGCGGCCGGGGCCTGGCCTGCCCCAGAGTGTGAAGACAGGGAGAAGGAAGTAGTTCGGGGTGAAGGTTGTATCGGGTGGCGGTTTTATGAACATGACAGTTTCTGGAATGGACAAGAATAAAAGTGGTCAGATGTCTGCAAAGAGAGGGACCAGAAACCGTGCAACCAACTAGGAAGACATAAATGCCTGCATCTGTCTCCTTCCTCTCCAGAAATTAAACACTCATTTCAAAAATTAATAGTTGGGTGAATGTGTCTGGAGACTTAGAAGGGAGCGCTCCCTGGAACCGGGCTATGAACTGTGAGGTTCTCACTTAAAAGGTGAGGGCTGAGGTCAGACCTGACTTAGTTCTGTAGGGTCAGGATCGCAGCCACCTCGATCCCTTATGAAACAGGTCCCTTGGTGTGGCCTGGATTTCCCTTTGACCCGGAATACCTGGCCCCCATCACCTCAGGGTAACATGGGTTTAGGACATCTTTCTAGCCATTCAATCCACTGACATCAGTAATGGGAGGCCCTGAGCGATGCCCTTAGTGCTGAGATGTTGAGAGAATCCTGGCCTGTCCAGAAGGTGTCCAAGGCTCATGGGCAGGTGTGTGTGTGATGGTCCCACATTTGCCAAGGACCATCAGGGGAAGATAAAAGCACCTGGTGACTCCTCAACCTTCTCACAATGAGGTGAAGGGGCCACTGGAGCCCTCCTGATGGTGCCCCCCTATTCTTCATGGGACGTGGGGTGTCCCGCTGATGGGGGCAGCTACTGAGCTGGGAGGAGGCTGTGAGCACTGCAGGGGTGGAGGTGGAGGGAAAAGGACTTTTAGTTTGTATAAACCTCGCCTGGATCACCCTCTTCTGAGCAAGCGTCAGAACTGAGGTTGCCGGCAGGCTCAAGGAGGCCAGCAAAGGGTGTGAGCAGACTCTGAGCCCATGGCCTGGGCACTGCTCCCTGCCACTCCAGGAGCCCAGAGAGGTGGAGGTCATGCCGGGGGCTCCACCCTGGGGCAGGAGGGCCTGTGAGAAGCACTCACGGTACACGCTGATGCTGGCGTTCGCAGACACCTGCTTCCCAGAGCAGGTGAAGTAGCAGTACATGACCGTGTCCTCGGAGATGTTGGAGAGCCTGTACAGCTTCCACTGCGGTTGTTCGTCCAGCAGAGTCTTGCTGAGGGTGGTCTCCACACCACCGATCTCTGGCTGGAGACAGCTGGTACTACAGTTGACCTCCCAGGACCCTCCGAGCTTCACCACCTGCTGCTCTGGCCACATGTATACCTGGAACGCCTCCTCACCAGACCCTGGAACACCAGAAACTCTGGGCAGAAGACATCTCCACTGTCCTGCCCAGTGAAGCTGCCCACCACTGGCAGTCTGATCAAGGTGGAGGGGCCCAAGAAAAAAGGCCAGGGATGGTCTCCTCTGCTCCTTGACCCTTGACCTTTGACCCTTGTTCAGGCCTTGTGGAGCCCGGGAGGCTGCCCTTGAGCTGTCTTCCTGCCTCTGGTTGCCCTTCCTCTAACACATCACCTCTAGCTAAGTCTTCCTCATGCACATCTGTGTCCATGGAGATGGATCCTATTTGACCTTCAAGGCCCAGCCCTAATGTGCCCTCCATGAAGGCCTCTCTGAGATGGAGGTGGACTGCGGCTTCTGAGCTCCTGTGGCCCAGGGTTCAACCCATCCCTCCCTCCTTTCCTTTCTTTGTCAAATAATTTTTGAACACCTGGTATATGGTACTGTTCAAGGCTCTGCAAGAATGAGCAAAGCAGACCAAACCCTGTCTTTGCAGAGCTCACATTCCAGTGAGGGAAACAGACAACAGCAAACAAATATCCAGTCCAGACGCTCAACCACTCAGCCCTTCGGTGGTGGTACATACCGAGGGGCAAGATAGGCGCTTTGCAGACAGTTAGAGCTGCATGGGAATCCTGAGTTCACCATAAGGTTACGTAAGGTTTCGAGCTATGTAACTTTAGGCAAGGTACTTTTTCTCTCTGAGCCTCAGTTTCTTCATCTATAAAATGGGCTAGTGATTCCTTTCCCAGTGTTGTTGTGAAGGTAAAATGAGATAGCACTTTAAAAGCACTTGGCAGGCCTGGCTGGTGTGGTTCAGTGGTTGAGCATCGACCCACATACCAAGAGGTAGCTGGTTCGATTCCCGGTCAGGGCACGTGCCCAGGTTGTGGGCCCGATTCCCAGTGGGGGGGCGTGCAGGAGGTGGCCGATCAATATTCTCTCTCATTGATGTTTCTATCTCTCCCTTCCTCTCTCTCTCTAATGTCAATAAAGGAAAAAATAAATAAGTTTACAAAGAAATAAACAAAAGCATCTGGCAGGTTGTCTAAAACAGGGTTGTTGACACATGGTGGCATTTTCCCTTAGTCCCCTTGACTGGTAGGAGTTTCACTTTTGCTCTGAAGGTAGTCAGAAGGTGAGGCCCTCTGCTGCCCCCTTCTGTCCCCTAGGCCACACCTGAAGACCAGCTAGGGCATGCCTTCACCTTCTCTTGAACCCCAGCCTCCCTTCACCTCCTCAGGCCCCTACCCAGCCGCCATGTAGTCTCCACCGCCTGCCACATCCACTCGCCACGAAGCTGTGGGGCTATTCAACCTGGTGTCCAAAAGGCCAGGCCCCTCACCTGCTGCCCAGGGTCACAAGAAAGCCAGGTTGCCATAGCATCTGGAACCCATGGCTGGTGGCCACTATGTTCAAAGCCTCAGAGACTTCAGGGTCAGCACCACCACCCAGAGGCAGCCCACCCTCTGGGCTGGCACGTGCCACAGCAGGAACCCCAGGCAGTGGCTCACCTGGGCAGACGATCAGGGCAAGGAGAGCCATGGGCAGGCCCCAGCAACAGAACGGGGACATCTCAAATGGCATCCACGGGCTTGCAGCTCAGGGGCCCTGAAGAGGACAGAGTGTGGATCAGGGAGTGACCTGAAATCCAGCGGAACCGCCAGCCTTTTCTAAGCGGGTGACTGCATTTCCTCTCATTATCTGAGCAGTTCTTGGGAAGCCACGTGGAAGGCAGGCCCCAGGGCTGCAGGCCTGCAGGAGTCCAGGCAAAGGAAGTGGGACGCTGCTGATAAGTGGGGCCATGACTCGATCCTCGGGCATGCTCAGTTTAAAGATGAGTGCCCACGCGTGGACAGGCATGTGTATGTGTGAGTAACGTGCGTGCACACGGGGTCCCGGTGCACCGTGTGGGCACAGAAGACAGTGATGACCACAAGCCCCAGATCTGGGGAACCCCAAATCTCACAGGACACATTGTTGGGGTCCCCTCTGGGAAGAAAATATCCGAAGTCAGGACCTGTCCCGGACAGAGGCACCACAGCAAAGCAGATAAAGAGCTGGGCTCTTCCCGGGCGTCGCTCCAGCTAACAGCCCAGCACAGGTCTACTTAAACCTCAACCTCAGCTCTGGCCGGTTTGGCTCAGCGGTTAGAGCGTCCACCTGCGGTCTGGAGAGACCCGGGTTCAGTTCCCACTAAGGGCGCGTACCTCGGTTGCAGTTTGTCCCCGGCCCTGGTTGGTCGTGCGGGTGGCAGCCACTCGATGTGTCCCCTTCACGTCGATGTTTCCCTCTCTCTCTCTCTTCCTCTCTCTCCCTCCCACTCTGTCTGTACAAAAAATGGAAAAATGTTCTCGGATGAGGATAAAAAAAAAACAAAAAACAAACCTCAACCTCAGCCCTGGCCGGTTTCTCAGTGGTTAGAGTGTCGGCCTGCGGTCCAGAGAGACCTGGGTTCGGATCCCGCTAAGGACATGTACCTCAGTTGCAGTGGTTGGGTCGTGCAGGTGGCAACCACTCAATGTGTCCCTTTCACATAGATGTTTCTCTCTCTCTCTCTCTCTCTCCCTCCCACTCTATCTAAACAAACAAACAAACAACAAAAAAAATGAGAGAATGTCCTCGGGTGAGGATTAAAAAACAAAAAAACCCTCAACCTCAGCCTCAGCCTGCCCCTGACTCAGCTGGTACAGGGACAGTTTGGGGCACAGAGCCTCAAGAAATGTTTCCATAATAGTCCCCAGCAGCCCAGGCAAAGACAGAGGTGATGGGTTCGGTCTGGCTGCAGCCCAAGCCCCAGCCTCCGTTTCCATACCTGGTTTACGGGGTCTCCTCTTCCCCACCAGGCCGGGAACCTTGGTCGGGGGTTAAGGCCTGAGAAGCGGGTGTTTCTAGGAGGTTTTGTCACCTGCTGTGGGGATCCCCAGAAGCAGGGAGCAGGTGAGGGGGGTTCTGACGGTGGGGAGGGTCTTGCCAGGAGGCTTCTGACCCTGCCGCATCCAGCCTTCTATTGCCGGAGTCGTGGCCGGGAGGCCCTGGGGCCTGGCCTGGGAGAGACAGACAGGAGCAGGCTTCCTCGCTCTCTCGGGCACCCGAGATGGGGCCTTCCCAAAGCTGCCCAGCACTTTCCGGGCTCAGGCCAAACTTTGTCCCTGGGTGGGGAGGCATGGTGAGGTCATGCCCTTCTCTTGGGCTGCTGAGGTCAAAGGCTGCTCCCGTTGTGTGCAGTTGCCCGGGACAGGCCACTGGGCCTCAGGGTGATGCAGAGAGAGGACGGAGAAGACAGTGAAGCTGCCCCCAGCCCAGGGGCCTAGACAATGGGCCTGCTGTGGCAGAGGCTCTGTGGTCTCCACTGGGTCTGAATAACAACAACAATATCTACAAAAATAATAACAATAACAGTAACATGATAGTGAACATTCACTGACTACAGGTCACAAGCGTTACACAAATATTAACTAATTAATCCCCCAACTCCATAAAGTAGGTACTGTTACTGTCCCCATCTTACAGAGGGGGAAACTGAGTCACAGAGTGATTTAACTCATTTGCCCAAGGTTGAACACCTAGAAGACAAGAGTGAGCATAATGAGCAAGAGGCAGCCTGGTGGCCGCTGAAACCCATCAGAGCAGGGGCAGAAGGGTTCTCGAGGGCTCGACCGCTTGGGAGGGAGATGCAAGGCAACAGAAGGACAGAGAAACTGCTGGCCTTCCTTGCCAGAGGAGTTTGGGAAAGGTGGACGGTTCATGTTGGGAGAGCTCCAGTTTCTAGAAGGAAGAGTACCTGAGAGCCCGGCCCACACGCAGCTGGGCCAGACTGACTGTCCCCACAGGTCCCTGCGAGGCTCCTGAGGCCCGGAGAAGCCTCAGGTCGGGCCCTGCGCTCACCAGCCGCCGCTCCCACCACCCACTCCTCCTCTGACCTCTCCCATGGCCCCTGGCAGGCCGTCCCCGGTGGGGCACACGGGCACGTGAATGCGCCCTGCATTCTAACAGCTCGCAAGCCCATCTCCCCCTCCTGCTGGCCGGCCACCCCCGAGAGCAGAAGCCGAATCACACGTTCTGCTCTCTCCACCAGAAAATGACACTGCCTGGCACACAGCAGGTCTTAATCACTGTTCAGTGGGTAGATGGATGGCTAGGTAGATCAGCAAATGAATGAAAGACATAGTCTTTGTTGTTGTCGTTAATCCTCACCCAAGGATTTCCATTGATTTTTTTTTTTTTTTTAGATAGAGTGGAAGGGAGAAAGGAGGAGGCAGAGAGACAGAAAAGAAAACATTGATGTGAGAGAGATGTATCAGTTGGTTGCCTCCCACATGACCCTGACCAGGGATAGGGATCAAACCTGCAACCCAGGTGCACACCTTGGACTGGAAAGACCAGGAATTGAACCTGAGACCCTTTGGTCACAGACTGAGGATCTAACTGTGGAGTCAAAATGGCCAGGGCAAAAGACATAGTCTTTTTTTGTTTTTGTTTTGTCTTCACCAGAAGACATTTTTTCCATTTTTTGTTTAGATAGAGTGGGAGAGAGAGAGAGAGAGAGAGAGAAACATCGACGTGAAAGGGACACATCGAGTGGCTGCCACCCACACAACCCAACCAGGGCCGGGGACAAACTGCAACTGAGGTACATGCCCTTAGTGGGAACCGAACCCAGGTCTCTCTGGACCATAGGCCGACCAGTTTGGCTCTAACCGCTGAGCCAAACCGGCCAGGGTGACATAGTCTTGATAAACAATCCAAACAATCTTTCTTTGGGTCCACTCGGCTTATCTTTCTCCTTATGCTGATGTCTCTGCTGGCCCCCAGGCTGACAGCATAAACAGGGACAGCCAGGGTCCCTTAGTCCCCAAGGATGGGTGTTAGGAATTAGGCCTGGGCAGGGTTTTCCCTGGGACCTTCTGAAAGGGAACTGGTAGGAACTAACCTTCCCCTTCCTGGTCCGGATAGGTGCCCGGGAGTCAGCAGCTGTGCTCACACGAAAGGGGAGGGAAGAGGAAGAGGGAGAACTTCTAGCCACCGCCTTGCCTCCCAAACCTTCTTTCCTGCTTGGAAAACCCCTCCCGCTCTGCTTTCTTTCCAGAGTGTTACAAACCATTCACACCATTCTCTCCGCCCCGCTCCTTCAACCGCCAGCTGACAAACACTCAGAGGCACTCTCTGGCCCTAAGCGGTTCTGGGAGCTGGATGATTCAGAACTGAGCTCTGTGTACAAGACAGCAGCTGGGCACCGGAGGACCACGGATTCTGGAAGAGTCCAGAGAACTTGGAACCTCAGTTTAGGAAGTGAGCTCCTCTCTTTTCTTTCTTTCTTTTTTTAAATCCTCGCCAAGGATATTTTTTCATTTATTGTCAGACAGAGTGGGAGAGAGAGAATGAGAGAAACATTGATGTAAGAGAGACACCTTGATTGGTTGCCTCCCGCATGACCCCAACCAGGGCCGGGGACCAGGCCGCAACTGAGGTACGTGCCTTTTTTTTTTTTTTTTTTTTTTTGTTTTTTGTTCAGATAGAGTGGGAGGGAGAGAGAGGAAGAGAGAGAGAGAGAGAAACATCAACGTGAAAGGGACACATCGAGTGGCTGCCACCCCCACAACCCAACCAGGGCCGGGGACAAACTGCAACCGAGGTACGTGCCCTTAGCGGGAACCGAACCCAGGTCTCTCCGGACCGCAGGCCGACGCTCTAACCACTGAGCAAAACCGGCCAGGGCGAGGTACATGCCTTTGATCGGAATCGAACCCGCGACTCTTCGGTTCGAGGGCCGACACTCTAACGGCGGAGCCAAACTGCCCAGGGCATGAGCTCCTCTCTTCCACAGGGCTGACTGGATCTTAACCCAGGGACTTCTCCCTATCGCTTCTAGTCCTTTCCACAGGAAACAACGTTCAGCTTAGACCTGTGTTCCCAGCAAATCCATCTTTCAAGAACCACGATGAAATAAAGATACAGAGAAACAAAGACGGAGAGAGCTTATTTCCAAAATGCCTACCCTAAAGGAGCTTTTAAAGACAGGTGTCAGGTAGAATAAAAAATGATCACAGGACACTCTTCTATGTAAGAAGGATGGGTAAAAAATTAAATGGCAAATGAGTATGTAACTCCAAACATAACAACATTTATTTGAGGAGTTAAAAAAGTTTAAAATTAAAATACTGTACAATAACACATAGGAGAGGATTACAGTGAAAACAGTCTAACCAGTTTGGCTCCTTGGTTAGTGCATCAGCCTGCAGACCGAAGGGTCATGGGTCAAGGGCATCTACCTGGGTTGCAGGTTTGATCCCTGGCCCCCATCGGGGTCGTGTGGGAGGCAACCAATCAATGTGTCTCTCTCACATCCATGTTTCTCTCTCTCTCTCTCCCTCCCTCCCTTCCACTCTCTACAAATCAATGGAAAAATATGCTCAGGTGAGGATTAATAATAATAATTTTAAAAAGCATTCTAGACTCCTATGTTGTGTAGAAGAGAGAGTGCACTTTAAGTAATAGGAGTACAGTGAAATTTCAAGGAAACCTAATAGAGTTTATAAATTCTAAACCACCAGAGAGGATTGAATGTTATGAAAACAACCTTCAATCAATAAAAAAAAGTTAAATAAGGA